AAAAAAAACAGCTTGGTGTTTCTTTAAGCACTTTGGCTGTTTTTAGAAGCAGTAGAAACCCAAATGGAAGCATAAAAACGTACTAAATGTGAATTTTGCCTGATAAGTTGACATATCTTGTCTCCTCAGATGACAGCGCGTCGGCAGCCAGCAGCATGGAGGTGACGGACCGCATCGCCTCCCTGGAGCAGCGGGTCCAGATGCAGGAGGATGAGATCCAGCTGCTCAAGTCCGCTCTGGCCGACGTGGTTCGGAGGCTGAACCACTCAGAGGAGCAGCAGGCCATGGGGTCGCGCAGAGGACCCACCAAAGGTAGCACAGAACCAGAACCTTCACTTCTACCTCTGCTTTGTTTCTCCTTACATGATTTTATCTGTTGGTGGAGCTTTTCCTTTACGTTTCTCCCACCTGCTGAAGTTACTTCAGATTCTGCTTGACTCCTCTGACCAGCTGTCACTCTCTTCTCCTCCATGACTGTGTTGTTTTGTTAACTGCGTTGTGCGATAGAGCCCACTAAGATGAGAAAATCTCCATCAGCAGACAGCAGTTTTGGCAAGTCAGGTAGGCCGGCTGTAGCTTGTCTGCACTCACCGGGCCTGTTGTGCACTTTTCAGTCGTTGCCTGCAACATTTCACCTCAATATGCTGCACAATGTTCAGATTAGAAGACAAATTTAATTTACTATAACTTGTAGTTTATATATTGTTTGTAACACTCTAAGAACATTTTACACCTAACTATGCTGCTAAACCTGAATTTCCCCCATATGGGACAATAAAGGTTGCTTCTGTTTTTACTACATACGTTAATAAGAATAAATAATTTATTCACATTACACAAAATGAAAAATGCAATCTTTCTAAAATATTTTATTTGTAAATGTAACATTTATTTACTATAAAGTTTGTCATGTTCAGAAATTGATGTCTAATTCTTTTTATGTGTATCTGGAAAGATTTAATTTCACTTCAACAAGAATGAAAAACAAAACTGTTTTTTACTTGAGGAAAAAGTTTGGACACCCTAAAGTAAGGAGGAGCAGCTTTCATCATTTTCCTTGAAAATTATGGCGTCTTGATTTTTTTCACCTTCACACCTGCAAGTTAAACTCTGCTGCTGATGATTTTTGATCTGCACTTGTTGGCTGCACTTGTTGCATTGTTTTGCATGCTGCCACTGCTGCTGTCTGTCTGCCTGCATGCCGTCAGCTTCTGTTCAGCCGCTCCAGAACCAACGTTTGGGCTCAGATGTCAGGAAGTGATGATATCTGACTCAATAGCTGATCAGCTCATGCAATTTTCTTTGTTGAAAATACAATCTTAAACATTTATACTTAATTTACACAAATTATAAGAATGTAGGACACTGAGAAATGGTGAAAGTGAGTGAATTTATGTATTATACAGCATCTCTCTTATTGTGACCAACTTTCACTATTGTGTTGTGTTGGTGAGTTGGTTTGGGGAAATGACTGATTGTTTCCTATGAGTCAGATTCTCCTTTTCTCCACCAGATTATCCTGCTGCCCAGTGTTTCTTATTCTTCTTTGACATTTTCTGTAAAACATGATAGGTCTCATTTTTGTATCTCTGTTTAATAAAATCTCTCCATGTGTTTGTGAAGCTGATCTATTATGCTTCCTTGAACAGGTTAGGATTGGTTTGTGAACTTTAAAAAACATGTTTATTACATTTTTACACAAAATAATCCTTAGATAATTAGAGCCTCCAACTCAACGTTTACACTCGCGCATGAAAATGGCAGCAAACAGATGGACAATTATACAACCGTACAGCTTTGAAAAGCAGAAGTGGAGCTTCCTGCACAACCAACAAGAATGCAGAAAGTGGTTTCTGGGTGGTAACTGAACAACCAAACAGAGAATAAAGCAGTAAGACCAGCTGACCAGACATGCTGGAACTCTTGCTTGGGTTGCTAGGCGATGGGCTGGGCTGAGGTTGCTAGATAGAGCAGCTAGAACTGCTTTAGAACTGATTTATTGGAAAATTATCATGAAAATAGTACAAACTACTGGATTAATGCTGTAGTTCTAAGGAAAATGTTTTTAAAAAATTAATGAGTTATGACAACGTTTATTTTCCTCTTTGGATGAATAAACTATTTTTAAATCTGAATCTGTCGTCGCATTAAAGGATGTGGATAAATGTAACTACATTTATCCACATTCACTACATTTAAGGCTTAGTGATAAATATTAGGGCAAAAACAATTAATCGCATTAACCATGATTAATTATTTTATTATTAAATTATTAATTATTCCTTAAAAGAACTGCCAACTCATTTATTGGTTGATTAATTGTTGACTGGAATATACTGACTCAAAAAAGGTAATTCTGCTGAAAACAATAACTTATTCAGAGCAGTAATAAAGTCAAAATCGAACAAAAAATTATATACATTTAGTATTTAAGATTAAAAAGATTAAACACAAATTTTAGTTTCACCTGGTTAAAATAAACTGGCACCTTTTTCAATCAAATTATTAATCGGCTAATCAAAAATAAATGAAGCAGAAAGAGTGGATCTTTTCACATGTTGATGTTAGAAATACATACTTTTTTTAGCATCTTTTGCATTAATAATCTAATATTTCCTAAAGGAACGCTGTGTCATTACATTTTAGGAAATAAAATATTTTTCTTATTTTCTTATTTAAAAAGCAAAATTATTTGTTTCCATCTTTTAGTGTATTTCTAATATTAAAAAAAGATTTAATTTGTTAGCTGAAAAATCTGCCAAATGTGCCAATTTTTTATTCGATTAATTGATTAATCATTAGAATAATCAACTAAGAATAATCGTTATCTGCAAGGCCAATGAATATGAACACTTTTGGTCTTCCTTAACTTCATAATTCAACATTTTTATAATTACAAGAAATTTATCAGAATGGCGAATTCTCCTGGAAATAATGTGTCCAAATCCAGTAAGTGGGCTTAATAAATCCTCAAGAATAATGTCAACATCCAAACAGTAGCTTAATGTTACGAAAATGTAAATCCTGCTATAAAGTAACCAGTTTAGTTCTTTATATTTGTTATTTTCTCCTCCTTCGTCGCTGATGTAAACGTTTCGCCGCTGCAGCCGACGCTCCTCACCGTCCTGCTTGTTGTTTGTCCTCCAGCCAGGCCGATGATCGCCACTCTGCCGCTGCGGCCCACGGTCAACAACGGGACCGTCCTGCCGAAGAAAGGCAGCAGCACCCTGCCCTCCCCGTCTGGACCCGGGACCAGGAAGGACGCCGGCCCGGCAGCCAACAAGAGGTCAGGAACCAAAACAAAGGGAGTACCGTCCTGCGACGGAGTAACAAACTAATACAAAAATTTAATTATTTGCAACTTTATTCTCATATTATTTTATTTTTATTTTTGTAATATTACAATTTTATTCTTATAATTTTATTAGTTTTATTTTCTTAGCATCGCCCTAATACTCCGTCATACTATTCAGCAGATTGATAGATTTGTTTTTTTATTTCACTTTATTAAACATATTTTTGCTATTTTTATGAAGAATTCAGCAGGTTTTAAGTGCTGAAACCATTAACCGAATTAATTGTGATTAATCGATTATTAAGATAATTGTCAACTAATTTAGTGACTGATTAATCGATTAACTGGAGTAAAAAGACTCTAAAGAACCATTTGCAGGAAGAGCAACATGGCTAGAACAATAACTAAAAGCTGTTGGAAAAATATATATATATTTTGCATTTAACATTAATGTTGTTTTAAAAAGGAATTAAATTGTTTGCTTTTTATTTGATTACCCGATTAATCGTCAGAATAATTGGGAAAATATTTGATTACTAAAATAATCTTTAGCTGCAGCCCTAGTTTTATTAATGCTGTTGTAAATCTTCGGTCCACACAGCCAAGTTGCTTTGTGTTTCTGCCGTTTGAACTCTCACATTTCAGCTTTTCTACCAGCCAAATTCACTGACATTTAACGAGACTGATGCAGAGAGAGACTTCTTTGTCACTTCGGTGTGTGTGTTCACGTGGAGGTCAAGCTACAAATTAAGTCTGCCAGGGGAACAAAAGTCTTTTCCCGTTCCTGGATGACATTAACATAATCAGATGAGGAGCAGCTCAGTCCAAACAAACCTCCCAGCTCTAATACCGTCTGCAGGTGTTCACTAAAATTAGAGGGAAAAGTTTCTAAAAGAATCATTCTTAGTGAGAATCAGTCTGCTCAGTTCTGCCTGTATTGAGCTGTTTTAGGGTCTCTGTCACTTTAAATCCAAATAAGCTGCTGCTGGCCACGCCCTGGAACTCAGCGTATACACTCGCACGTCAAAATGGCTGCAAATATGCAAAACTATATAACCATACATGTTTGAAAAGCAAAAGTGGAGCCTCCTGCACGACCAACAAGAATGCAGCAAATGGTTTATAGATGGTAAGTCAACAAATAAACATGCATCTTTTCCAGCAGTGGTAAAATGAGCTGACCACTTGTGCTGGATCTCCATTTTGGGTTGCTAGGCAACAGGGCTACTAGACTTGGCTGTGGTTGCTAGGTAACGGCAAAGGATTTTTGTTCCTCTCTGCAGTTTTTCCAGAAACTGGGACCTTGATTTTCAAATGAAATGCAAAATCTAATGTCAGAATTGGAGTAACAGTTCAATCCTTTTCTCCTTTGATCAAATTAAGATTCTTCCTACACTGACTCCAGTTCTGGAGTAACAATAATAAGGAATGCAGCAGGTGTAGCCCATATCCTGAACATTCCCTGTAACTCACTAGAATGAGACTTTCTTTAATAATCCCAAGTTCCTGCGATATGTTTTTCTTCCACTAAACTTTCCCTTGGTATACTTATGAACTGCCTGTTTCTTTTATACAATTTTTTGTAGTGACAGTCTGCTGGAGAACTGTCAAATTAGCAAAAGCTCAAAAATTAAATTGCTACTTTCTTAGAGAAATTTCACTGTAAGAGTTTTTTTGAGCTGGAAAACTGAAATAAATGTTTCTATTCTCCAGCTGAGTTTTTTCCCCTCCTCGTGCATCGTGTTTGTTTTCCAGACACATCCTCTCCTGCAGCCTGTTTTTGAAAGCATCTCCTGTTTTCATCTCATGTTTTGTCCTGTTGTTTCTTCCCACCAGAATGTTGTCCCTCAGGTGAGAGTCAGCTAACATCACCGCCATTTAAAACTAAAACTTCACCTTCTGCCATTTCACCTCCTGAACTGCAAAAACAAAAAACCTTACCAAGTTATTTTGGTTCAAGTCTCTACTGCAAATAACTTAGTACACTTGAAATAAGACAAAACTAAGTTACAAGTATTTTTTTAGCAAGATATAGGACTTTGTTTTAAGTCAATAATTCCTTAATATTTATGAAAGTTCTAGATCCACTGGCAGATTAATTCAATTGAAACATGAGAAAAATGTCTTGTTATAAATTTTATAATCTGCCAGTGGAACTAGAACTTTTTAATCAAAATTAAGGAATTATTGACATAACTTGCTAAAACATTACTTTAAAGTTAGTTTTGACTTATTTCAAGTGTACTAAGATGTTTGCACTTTGAACTAAAAACATTTGGTAAGATTTTATGTTTTTGCAGTGCAGGTTGTGTTTTTCTATGTCCTGAACTAATCTGATCAACAGAAGCATTCAAAACATTTTAATCTGACTTTAATCTGTTCATATTAAACACACATCTCTGTGTTATGACTGCATGAGAGTTTTATATATGTATGTGTAATAATTGTGAAAGATTTTTCTTTGGCACAGTAAATTAAACAGGCATATAAATGCATGTTTTTAATTACACTTTTCAGGTAAATTCTGAATTGGTAAGTGATAAATTTAATTTAGGGATTAAATAAGTTTTCACTTTTTCAAAAAAAAAAAATACTTTGTAAGATTTTGTGTTTTTGCAGTGTGTAAACATAGACAGTTGGATTTTAGTGCAACTTTCTCCCACTGACTCACTGATGTTTGTATTAATTTAAGCTTCGTCGCAGTCGCTTCCCGACTCGCTGCAGCCTTTAAAGCCCTGCGGTCCAATTAGGACGCCGTGATTCCTCATGGGAAAAACAGAGCAAACAGTTGTTCCTCTCTGCTGCTTTGAATAAAAACACACACAGTCTGTGCAGAAGGGATAAAAGCCAGCGGCGAGTTTCAGGTTCTGGACAGACTGGATTAGATGACCTGTCTGCCTGCTGACTGCTGATTTGGCTCTTTTTTTTGTTGTGGAAAAAAGACCGGCTGCCCTCATGCAGATCTGCACAGCGCTGCTTTTATTCTGACACGTTGTTGGTTTAAATAAACTGAATTCCGGTGGAGAAATACAATCTTTTCATTTTGCACTTCAACAAATTCCAATGTTTTATGTATTTCAGCCGGTTTGATGCAGATAATAACACTGACTGAGCAAACACCTTTTTATTTGCGGCCTAATTTGCCGCTTGTTGCTTTGGAAGGCAGTGAAGCGAACTTAATTTATTGTGACTGTTTTATATGTTTGTATGTTTTTAGGGTAGGATCAGCAGTCCTTGAAACAGGAAAATAGATTATAGTACGCTTTCTCTGCAGTAGGAGGTGGTAATTTTCCCAATCTGAATACAAGTTGTTGTTTTACCAAGACTTATAAGAACAGAACAGATTTTAATTCTTTTTAATTTTTACCTTTGTTAGAGGAGGTATAAAAATACTGTATTTAGTCCAGGGATGCAAACCACAAATTTCTATTTTATCTCTTTGTTAATACAGCTGACACAAAATAATGTTAAATTTTAATAGCTTTTTAAAAAATTCAGCATATCATGAAACATTTAGCCTGCCATATCAAGTCTGAGCCCTCTTGAATCAAGAGAAAACTCAGATTCTTAAGAAAAGCCGCTTCTCAATTAATCATTAGTCGATAAGATAAATCAACTTTTTATCAGCTCATTAATCGATAACTTGCATCCCTAATTTCAGCAGTAAAATGAGAGATTGTTGCTGATGGAGCATAAAAACAAATGTTTATGGATAAAATCTTTGCTTGACTTCTCACAGACGCTGCCGTCAGGTAATTTTACGGCCCATTATTCTGTCTGCCGCCACTCACTGGTTTTGCTTCTTGTGTCTGTCCTGCAGCACTGTGAGGAGAGCCAACTCAAACGAACACGTGGGGACTCTCACTCGCAAGGACTCGGGCGACTCCAAGGGGAACCGGACCCGGGCCGGGTCAACGGGCAGCAACTCCAGCGGCAAGAGAAGCGACAGGTAAACCCAAACCGCAGGCACTACCTGCATTTCCAAATGTGTGGAAATCTTTGTCAATATTCTCCTAATGTAAAAAAACAAACAAAAACAATTTTACAGTTGCTGAATTAAAATAACACGTGAATCATGCCAGCGACGGATGTGAACAGTAAGGTGCATTTATAATTCAGTCGTCAGAGGAAACGTCGGCGTCTTATTCAGGCGTTGGAGCGACACGCCGCTTGGGAGCAATTATAGTCGGCCATTTTACTTTACTGTGGATTCAACACGTTAGACTGACACACAACGTTTTATGAACTGTGCGATGCTGTGAGAGCAAGAGTTGGGAAGTAACTAGTTACATTTACTTCAGTATTTTTATTTTATTTTTTTACTTATAGGAGCATTTTTGCTACGCTATACTTTTTACTTTTAATTTAATTTGATTAAGAAGTATCACTACTCTTGCTTACTTGAGTAAAATGTCTTTATTTTCTACCCACTGAATGAAAAACAAACAGGTTTTAACACGGACACGGACTCACACCTGCAGTTTTTGTTAGTTTCAAAAGTTTTTATTGAAAGAAACTGATTTGGAAAAATGTTATTTTGCCTGATTTTGTTATTTTTTTGTGACTTTTATAAATCATTGTCTTCTTGGTCCTTAAAGCATCAAGCTTTCTGATTATGTAATTTAAAAAAATTGAATCAGAATTTGATTGGTTACTCAGTACCTGAGTAGACTTTTAACGAAATACTTTTTTTTAACTGTACTTGTGTAATTTCCTGGATGGCGACCTTTTACTTCTGAGTAAAAAACATGTTTAAGTTGTGCTACTCTTAGTTCAGTTCATTTTTTGACCAATCTGAGAGCTCATCCTCCTACCACTTCCTGTCATGGTCTTCTTTGTTGTTTTCTCCAGTAGTAACATCCAGCTGTTGTGACTTTTGTGATGCTAAAAAAGTGTTTCGAAACACCGACTCATCCTAGCACAAATACGTTTTTGTCATAAAACTGGAGGTTTTTTTTAAATTGCTGTGTCTCCATTAAGCAAATTTATTTTCAAAATTTCAATTTGCACAATTTTATGGTTAAACGCAGCTACTGATTCTTTAGGTTTTTAGTTTTCTAAACTGAAGTGTGTGAACTTGGATGACTGACAGTTGTGTGTTTATTCATTTATTTTGCAGCAAACAGAGGGATCCAGTGTTCAATGCAGGTGAGAGTCCAGCTTTTTCTTTTTCAGAGTTGAGAGCCGATGTTATTTTTTCCAAAAATCAAACTTAGTATCAGCTATGACTTCTGTGTCACAGAAGTTTATTTCAGCTTCTTTCCATGATGCCTTGCTTTAAATGACACTGTTAAACATTCATTTTCTCATCGTTCATTCTTTACATTTAACACATTCACCTCATATCGTTTCACTCTTACTTCAAAATTCATTCATTCATTATTTTCTTATTAAAACGTTTTTTTTGTAGATTTCAGTTCAGAAGCTGTTTCAGATTTTTGTTACAATAAATTAAATTCACCGCAGCAATAGGAGCCGTTATTGTTGTTATATTTTATACTTGTATTTGTTACATAATATCCTCCACAACAGTATTCACACCCCAGGCAAATTTAGGTTTACATTTATTGTCATTTACCTAAGAAGATCTTACCAATGCTTAGCATACATGCAGAATTTTCCACTTAATATTTGAACAAACATGGAACTTTCTTTTTAAAATGATAAAAAAAAAATAGACGGAAAAACATTAAAAAAATTATGAAGTTAGAGAGAAACAGTTAGAAAACGATCGCGGTGGTTTGTTAAAAACATCATGGACAGAAGCTGCCGTTCACCAGCAAACAGGAAGTGAGGTCACTGTAGAGGTGAGGAAGCGATGCCAGCCTTCATCTGGTGCTTGTGTGTCTCTCTGACCTTTACAAGGGATGCGACGTGTGACCCACTGCAAAGGTAGGCCAGGGCCCCTGAGCTCCCCCCCTACCTCCGCCCTGCCTGCACAGCTCTCTGCTCATCGGTTCAGATTCATTCAGACGTGAAGCCGCTGCTCTCAGGCCTGAAGAGAAGCAATAAAAACCCAATCATGGAGTGAGCAGAAAGCTGTCCAGACTGGAGCAGGAGCAGACTGCTGAGCTACGTTTGAAACTTTCCCTGTGGAAAAATTAACTCACAAACATCCCACCTAACCTCCACTCAGAGCTGCAGAAGCACAAAAACTCACCAAGTGTTTTTTACTTTCTACCACAAAAATCTTATTCAACTTGAAGTAAGACAAAACTGACAAGGAAGTAACATTTCAGCTTCTTTCAAGTCAATAATTTCTTAATATTTATTAGAAAAGTACTGGTGCCATTGGCTGATTATTTTACTTAAAACGTAGAAAAAATGTCTCGTTATAAGTGAAATAATCTGCCAGTGGAAATAATAGTTTTCTTATAAATATTAAGAAATTATTGACTTAAAAAAGCTCCTATATGTTGCTGAAAAGTCATTTGTAAATAGGCTTGTCACAATAAATCAGTTAAAACAAACTCAATCATTTTCATGATTTACTGTTTTTCTTTTTTTCTCTCTTTCTACAAAATACTGGATGATAAAAGTCTTCAGTCTCAACAAGCCCTCTTTTTTTTTTTTGAAGGATAATTTTGTTTACAGACATTTCAAAATTCATTTCATTTGATATTTACTTTGGATATTTAAAATGTCTTCCAGCATTAAATGTTTGTTAGAATCTAAAGTTTATTGATCTCTGAGAACTTGTTCTTGCATTATTATGCCATTATTACCACTATATTACTAAAACGGTCTCAAAACAACAATGTTATCGTTTATCATGATAACCTTTGATATAATTTATCATCCAGAAAAATTTGTTACCATGACAACTGTAGCTTTAAGTTAATTTTGTATTATTCAAAGTAAGTTAAGAGAAAGGAAGAAAAAAAAGAAAACTCGGTCAGACTTTGTGTTTTTTCAGCGGTTGCTGTCTGTTTGCTCACTTCAGTCAGTTTTGGTCACCATAGTAACGACACAAAGATGTCTGCCACTCAATGCTTTGCAGTTGCTTCCAGGTTTTTTTTAACTCCAGCTCTTGCAGTCTCCCTGCACTTGGAATGAGTATTTGCACACTGACACAGTTTCTATTGAATCTTTTCTGAGTTTTCAGCCTTTTGTTTTGTATCTGTGCCAAAAAAAAGCAAAGTAATTTCCTGAAACATGCAGTTTTCTTTCAGAGGGATTAAAACCAAAAGTGGGTGGAGTAGACAAAGAGAGTTGCACTGCATTTAATAGTTGAGATAGTATTTACATAATCAGACTGAAACATTAAGCTTTTATGAGATAAAACTCTGTATTTTGTAAACACTTTCAAACAAAAAACAAGCTGCTCCAGTAAAATATTTTACTGTATGTTAAAAATATTGGTGATTTATAATCAGTTTCCTTTCTTTCCTTGTTTTAGTAGCTTAGTTTGTTCTTTACTTTACTCTCCCTAACTGTGTCATAAAAAGGAATTTCAATCATCTAACATCAAACTTTCTCCACCTTCTTTTCACATGTATCGTCCCTCCATCTCTGCCTCCTCTGCTCTGTAGTTCCCAGCCAGTACTTTCAGATTTACTAGCGCAAAACATCAACACTCAGCATTTGAAATATCACCATTTTAGGTTAAACAGGCTAATTCATGACTTAATTTAGATCTGACCTTCTAAAGTTTTCTATAGTTGGAAAAAATTACAGCTGCAGCTAACGGTTGTTTTTGTCATTGATTTATTCAGACGATTAATCAAATATTCTGATGATTAATCAAATAATAGTCAGAATATTCAGTTATTCTGATAATTAACCGCCTGGATAGTTGATTATTTCAACAATTAATTGTCAGAATATTTGATTATTTTGACGATTAATCAGTTCATAGGATTTTTAAAAATAGCCACATTCTAGATTTTTCACTTAACTTTTATGCAACATTAAAAATGCATTAAAATATGCAAACAAAATTACCCTAATCAATTCCTTTTTAAAAAAAGATTGCCTATAAAGCAATAATACAGCACTTGTTCAGTGTGTTTGAACCAGGTGAAGCAAAAACTACGCCACTTTTTGGATAAGACATATTTACAGACAAATTAGGTTTTTATCTTAAATGCTCTGAATATGTTGTTTGTTTTTGAATCTGTATGCTTCAGTTAATGATTAAACTAGTTGACTATTATTTAAACTAATTTGCGCTTATTTTGTTCACGATTAATCGGATTAATCTATAAAAAGTTTTAATTTAGGCTAATATTATCCTCTCTACTGAAGGTTTTGGTACATTTTACACTTAGTTTTGCTTATCTCCGCATTTTGTTTTGAATCTCTGCTGTGTGTTTTAAAAGCATCTGCTGTTCATTTTTTGCCCCTTGTTTTCACACAGATGTGTTTGAAATGACCAATAAAACCTAGTTTAAGACATTTGTTTGTGTTTTTGTAATTTTTCTGTTTTTAATTATCTGTTCTCAATAAAACCATAAATAGACTCCACCTTCACACCCAATTGCATCACTCTGTTTAACCGATCTCACTCATAACTCACCAGCACTTCTTTTGTTCACTAACTTTTCCCAAGTTAATTATTCTGATCTGTTTGTGTATAAACTCATTGTTTAATGAGGCTTTTCTGTTGCCTTTCCTAGAGGAAGGTTATGTGAAGATGTTCTTGAAGGGTCGCCCCGTCACCATGTTCATGCCTAAGCACCAAGTGGACAGCTACAGCCTGGAGGCCCGAGGCGAGCTGCCCAGCAACAAGCTCAAACTGGACTGGGTGTATCCTGACGCTGCTGCCGGGAGTTTTCTGCAGAAATGAAAGATTAAATGAAACATTCACAGCAAAAACATGAAATATTACCAAGTATTTTTGATCTATTTTCTATTGCTAATTGGGGATGCACCGATCTGCATTTGTTTTCTTCTGATGCCAATATCTGAGGTTTAGTATTGTTGGCCGATACCAATCCGACTCAGAAAAATAGTGCTAAATTTACTGAAAATGTTTCCTTTTTAAAGTAAATACAGACATAGCTCAATTTCACTTTTATTTGATCACAATACACCATACACTGCAAAAACACCAAATCTTATCAAGTATTTTTGGTCTAGTTTCTAGTAGAAATGTCTTAGTTTTGTCTTTTTTAAAGTGTATTAACTTACAAGTAACTTTTCAGCATAAAATAGGAGCTTTTTTAAAGTCAATAATTTCTTAATATTGGATATGGGAAAAATGTATTGTTATAAGTTAAATAATCTTCCAGTGGAACTAGCACTTTTCATTAAGATTAAGGAATTGTATAACTTACAAGCTGAAAAGTTGCTTCTAAGTTAGTTTTATTTTATTTCAAGAGATATTTGCGCTTGAAACTAGACCAAAAGTATTTACGTTTTTGTGTTTTTTCAGTGTTCAGCTGAGTAATTGTGTGTGCATAATAAATTCAGCCTATTATTCTGGAGAAAGAAGAGTCTGTAAATGTTTCCCCGGCTTGTCAGAGTCGATCTGTTTTCATCGTCCTGCAGCCTGGAGTCAGGAATAACCGGCACACAGCTGACAAGCCGACGGCACAAGCAGTCAGCAGCTCCTCTTGTGCTATTTTCTTTTCTGTTTTCTCGTCATCTGTGGCCATCTTTGCTTATTCTTTCTTGTCAGGAGTGAATGAGACGTGCTGTTCAGCCCTGCAGGAATAGAAAAAAGCCAAAAGGCAAAAAATGTGAGGAGGAAAGCACAACCAACCATGTTTTTTAAGGGCATATTCACAAATTTCAATGTATATTATTGAGATTTTATGTGACTGATTAGACTAGAAGGTTTTTTTTTATGTTTACTTCACCTAAAACACCTTAAACATCTTTGACAAATTGTTCTTGTGCCAAATCCATTTCTATCCACTTGGATTCCTTGACCTTTGACCCAGCTACGGTTACCGCGGCAGAGACTGTCGCTCCAACCTGTACCTGCTTCCTACGGGAGAGACGGTGTATTTCATCGCCTCCGTGGTCGTCTTGTTCAACGTGGACGAACAGCTGCAGAGACACTACACAGGACACACGGACGACATCAAGTGGTGAGAAACACACTGGACTTTCTGCTTCCCGTCCATCATTAAAACCGGGATTTATTTAAAACGTCTAAGAAAAATCTATTTTAATTAATCTCATTTCCTCCACTCTGATCAGGAATGTCAGTTTTCCCAACCAGGCTGATTATTTTCAGAGACTATTTGATGTTTTTCCTGTCGTCTTCAGTTTGGCGGTCCACCCTGATAAAATCACGATTGCAACTGGGCAAGTGGCAGGAACCTCCTCAGACGGAAAAGTAAGTGAACTTTTATTGATTCTTCACATTCATGCTTTACTGAAGCAACATTAAGTACGTTAAATTAAAATAACGTAGAGCCTCATAACTTCTACACCTGTTGAAATTAATCACACAATAAATTGAAAGGAGCTCCATAATTTCCATTCTGATTAATATTTATGGTTTTGGTTGTGTTTTTTATTTCCATTTTATTTATTGTTGTTTTTTTTGTTGTGTTTTGTTTTGGATATTTAAAATATCTTCCATTTTGAGTCTTCAGTGGAATGTTAAATAAAAATTTAATATTTTTGTCTTTGAGAAGGTGAAGTTGCATTATTATGCAATTATCAGTATATTACTTGAAAATAGTCTCAAAACAAAAATATTATTGTTTATCGCAATAATTATTGTCATAATTTATTGTAAAATTGATTCCCTAAGGGTTGGACTTAGGTTGTTTTGGCTAAATCTAAAGTCCAATAAAGTCATTTGAAGTGACTTATAAAAACTGAGAACTTTTGTAGGTCAAAGGTCAAATTTGAGGTGTGTGTGAACGAATGTGGCGTCCAGCCTCTTTTAGTCTATTGCAAAAAGAAAATGTGTTTCTTTTATTGGTCTTTTGTAAATATTTCAAGACTTTTGATGTTTATCATTGGACATTTTTCCAGAGTAATTCATATCCACCAAGCTAAATGAAGGGGTTATTGTTTCCTGACTTGGTGTTTGTTTTTTTTTGTTTTCTGGCAGCAGCTGGCTCCTCACGTCCGCGTGTGGGACTCTGTCAGCCTCAACACGCTCCACGTTCTGGGCACAGGCTTCTTCGACCGAGCGCTCGTCTGCCTGGCTTTCTCCAAGTCGGTAAGAGACGCTAGCTAGCACCCTTTAGCGCCTCTCCAGCTCTGCTAGGAGTTAGCTTTTAGCTCTCTTCCTGTGAAGCCAAATAAACACATAATATGTTCTTTTTTTTCTGGAAATCAGAATGGAGGAAACACGCTTTGCGTTGTGGATGACTCCAACGACCACGTCCTGTCTGTGTGGGACTGGCAGAGAGAGGAGAGGCTCGCTGAAGCAAAGGTAGCAGCGTCCTCTGGTACTGAGTGTTCTGGTGTTTGTCCTTCTGAACTGGACTTGTTTCTTTCTTTTTGTGGGTCTGCTCAGTGCTCCAATGAGTCAGTGTTTGCTGCAGACTTTCACCCGACTGACAGCAACATTGTTGTGACTTGTGGCAAGTCTCATCTCTATTTCTGGACTCTGGAGAAAGGCATGCTGGTCAAAAAGCAGGGGCTGTTTGAGGTAAGAGAAATGTCTCACATTAGGCAAAAAATGTATCAGTTTCACTTAGATTTTATCAAAGAAGTATGATCTTATTTTGGCATCATCCAAAACATTGCTATTCACTTTAACTGGGTTTTAACGCTCTTTCTTAGTTAGTATTTTCTATATCCATAACTATAACTGCTACAGTGCATTCATAATTGCATGTCATTGACTTATCAATTTTAAAAAACTTTTTCAGACTTATTTGGAGAAAATAAAATGTGTTGAAGTTCAGACGTTGTATATGTGATTTAATGAAAGAAAATCTGTATTATCATGTAAATTCTTATGTAGTGGAAGAAATCAGTGTATTCTTGTGTTGTGTTACAGAAACAGGAGAAGCCCAAGTTCGTTCTGTGTGTGACCTTTGCTGAAAATGGCGACGCTATCACAGGAGACTCCAGTGGAAACATCCTGGTGTGGGGAAAAGGTACGGAGATTTGCAGGGAATTAAGAAACAACACTGCAAAAGCACAAAATCTTACCAAGTATCTTTGTCTAGTTTGTAGCAAATATCTTCGTACACTTAAAATAAGACGTAACAAACTTACAAGCAACTTTTCAGCAAAAAAGAGCTTGTTTAAAATCAAGAATTCCTCAATATTGCAAGGTAGTCTTGTCTTATTTCAAGTGTGTTAAAATGTTTGTAGCTACTAGAAACTAGACAAAAATACTAGGTGAGATTTTGTGTTTTTGCAGTGAACATGATCAAATGTGTGAGCCGGAGCTGAGAAGGGAATAAAACAATCCAAATGTTTCCAGTCACAAGCTCCAGTGAAGCAGCCAGGAGGTTAAAGTTAGGTCACTTTGAGAATAGATCAAAGCTTGATCTTGTGAGCAGAGATTTAATGGGGAAAGCGATTCACCATCTCCATCTCAGTTTAATCTATTGATCACCGTTCTTGTCTGTCTGCCTGGCCTGAGATCCTGCTCATCTGTCTCTTCCCGTCTCTGTTGTGCAGGCACTAATCGCATCAGCCGCGTCATCCAGGGAGCTCACGAGGGCAGCATCTTCGCAGTGTGCATGCTGAGAAACGGCGCCCTAGTGTCCGGAGGGAAGGACCGCAGGCTCATTTCGTGGGACAGCAGCTACCAGCAGATCCAAACAGTGGAGGTAAAGAAGCAAAACCTGACATCCTCTTTGAATAATACAAATAATTTGTCATTTTAATTATTAGTAATTAGTAATTTAGTATTTTTTTTTATTATGAGTCATGATGGTGGAACTCCATAGAATATCAAGGAAGCGCTGCAAGTGCCTAGCATCAATATTTAAGGTTCATCTTGCTTGTTTTTGTACTTCAAATTGGCTGTACAATGGCTGCTGGAAAAGATGAGTGTTTTGTTGACTGATACAACAGATAATATTCACCCCCTTAATAGATTTGAATAGAAAAACGACACACAGTTCTTAAATCATAAAAACCTAATTGACTGTAATTCACCACATTTTCTTAATTTTAAATTTTATTCAGCCTGATTGTGCTAAAAGATTAACCAGGTCTGAAGAAATTCAAAACATTTTAAGAAAATCATTGACGTCAACTTTAAAACTACTTTTGACATTTTTTATCTTGATAAACCTTCATTATGAAGAAAGATTGTTTATTTTGTCAGTGTTGGCTTCCCGGTAAACAACGGCTTTATTTTCATTCTGCAGGTTCTTGAGTTTTTCGGTCCAATCAGAACCATAGCAGAGGGCAGAGGGGAGACCGTCCTCATCGGCACCACCAAGAACTTTGTTCTGCAGGGCACCTTGGATGGAGAATTCATACCCATCACTCAGGTAAATGTGCTCAGATATCCACTGGAGGAGTTGTTTTGCTTTTGTTTGGTATCGTATTCACTCGTTATGACTGGGTGAATAATTAATAAAGTCTCCTCTGCAGGGTCACACTGACGAGCTATGGGGTCTGGCTGTTCATCCCTGGAAGCCCCAGTTCCTGACCTGCGGCTACGACAGGCAGGTCTGTCTGTGGGACTCCAGCACTCATCAGCTGATCTGGACCAAAACCTTGGAGGTAGGATTAGTCAACACTGCCCCCTGGGGCCCTTTAGGGGAATTACACAGCATAAACAGTTCATTAACTACTAACTTAAAATTGTCATATGGGAAAAACATTATACTGAAACCTCTATAGAAATGTTTTTTTACAAAAAATAAATCAGAAATAAGCCTATTTATTTTCTTGCTTTGTCCCGTTTACTATTCATTTTTGTTTTATGTGATCCTTAGGCTGCAGGTTGATTTCCTTTTTTTACCCCAAGAATTCAGGGTCAACATGAGCAGATTTTTATTTACATAAATTGGTGAACGTGATAAAAGCTGTACACTACAAAAACACACAATCTTATCAAGTATTTTGGTCTAGTTTCTACTGCAAATATCTTAATACATAAAATATACTAGCTAGTTTAAAATCAACAATCCTTGAATATTGAGAAGAAGTACAAATTCCACTGGCAGATCATTTCACTTACAAAATGGAAAAATTTTTTGTTATGAGAAAATAATCTGCCAGTGGAACTAGTACTTTTTAACAATATTCAAGAATTATTGATTTTAAAAAATCTTGTGCATCTTACTGAAAAGTTACTTGTAAGTTAGTTCTCTTGTTTCAAAGTTTGTACTATGCTACGTCTCATCACTGATGGAAATATTAGATGGAGAGAAAATCCTAATTTTCTTTTTTCATTGTTGTTTTCACAGGATACAGCCCAGTCAGCAGGTTTCCACCCATCAGGAGCCGTGGTTGCCGTGGGAACCCAGACTGGCAGGTACACATGGAAACTGGTCTCTCAATGAGACAAACTGTACAAATAAAGGTCAATAACAACAATACAATAACAAATCTTGTTTGACAATGAATTGTTCCAGAAATTATTGAGATAAACTATAATATTGTTGTTTTGAGACCATTTTAAGGTAATATAATGTTAATTGCTTAGTAATGCAAGAACACTCACTTTAATTTCTGACAAACACTTAGAACTTGAAGTGGAAGACATTTTAAATATCCAGAATAAATAAATAAAACAACAAATAAAATACTGAAGTCTCTGTAAACAGAATTCACCATTCATCCGGTCTCTAGAAAATGAGCCTGTTTTAATTAATCATTAGATTAATAGTTTTATTACAGAGACAGGTTTAAGTGACGCTGACAAGAAGCTTGGTGTGTCTCTGATCCTGCAGGTGGCTGGTTCTGGACACGGACTCGAAGGATTTAGTTACGGTTCACACAGACGGGAACGAGCAGCTGTCGGTGATGCGCTACGGCCCAGGTGTGCTGGTTTCTCTGCTTTACCTGCAGTAATATGTTTAACTTGCCTCATTTAGACAAGTGAAGGAAAAAATACAGTTTTTACGCTGAGAGGACTTTAATTTGTTTGGTTTATGCTTATTCCCATAACTTCACATCCTAAACGACGTAACTGGTCTGTTTCCTCTAGACAGTAACTTCCTGGCTATCGGTTCCCATGACAACTACATTTACATCTACGCCGTGGCAGAAAATGGCAGGAAGTACAGTCGGGTTGGGAAGTGTTCGGTCAGCTCCATCTCCTTCACACCTCCTTCCTCACCTTCTCCTCTCTGAGTCGTTTTTCTAACTTTAATTCCTTTAATCCCTCGCCAGGGTCACTCCAGTTTCATCACCCATTTGGACTGGTCTGTGGACTCCCAGTATCTGGTCTCAAATTCAGGCGACTATGAGATTCTCTACTGTAAGTAAGGCCGGTTAAATAAAGCGTACTGTCGTGGTACCAGACTCCTCAGCTGTGACCTTTGAGCTCATTTTTTAAATGCCATCACTGACATTCCAGTTGCCAAACGTGTTTCATAATACCAGCATTCCTCAGAGATTTTGGTCAAACTGTTTCAAGGTTCATGTTAAAACAACGCAGAATGCTACTGCCGTTATTAAAGGTGACCTGCCATGCTTCGTTGAACAGGTTAGGATAAGGCTATGAGTTATAAAAAGCATTTTCATTGCATTTTTTGCACAAAAATCATCCTTATAATGAAGTTTTTCTAGCTGTTTTAGCGTCTCCTTCACTTTAAATCCAAATAAGCTGCTGCTGGGCACGCCCCCCCAACTCCACATTTACACTCAGAAGTAAAAATGGCTGCAAACAGATGCATAATTATATAATCATTAATTTAAAAAACTGAACATTTTAAGTATTTTACATCTAGGTTGTAGTTTGAATAACTTAATATACTTGAAATGAGACAACACTATTTTACAAATAACTTTTCAGCAATGAATAGGAACTTGTAAGTTAGTTCTGTCTTATTTCAAATGTAATGAGATATTTGCACTAGAAATTAGGCTAACAATTTTTGGTAAGATTTTCTATACAACCAACAAGAATGAATCAAGTGTTGACAAGAAAACACTTGTCTTTTCCAGTGAATTGAGCAGTAAAACCAGCTGACCAAATGGTCTGGAATTCCTTGGGTTGCTAGGTAACGAGGCTGGGGTTCTGGGGTTGCTAGGTAACAGGGCTGGGCTTCTCGGGTTGCTAGGTAACGGCACAGTGCCTATGCAATGTGACTCAACAATCTTGAGGTTTTTGAAATGGCTCATTTCCAGACATGAAAAAACATTAAGTTATTGCCAAAAATCAGCTGAGGTCATTTTTTTAAGCGTGTGGGGAGTTTTTAGAACCAGTTGAGACTCAAATGGAAGTACAAAAACTTTAAAAATACGAATTTTGTATAATAGGTCCCCATTAATAATTGGAAGAAGTTGAGTTAATTCATTTCTGTTCTGAACCACAAAGATAAAATATGTAAAAAATTAAAGAGTTAAAAAAAAAAAAATCTCAATTTTTTTACTATTCAAAACATTCAAAATGTTGCTGATTGCTGCAGAGTTCGCAGCCCTGTTGCTGATGTAGGACGTCTTTTGTCCCCACAGGGATCCCGTCGGTGTGTAAGCAGGTCGTCAGTGTGGAGACCACCAGAGACATCCAGTGGTTCACTCACACCTGCACTCTGGGCTTTCAGGTGTTTGGTAAGACGCTGCCGCCTCCTGCTCTCTCACTTGACCCATGTGCATTCACTGGCCACTTTATTAGGTACACATTTCCAGTAGTGGGTTTGACTCTGTTCTGTTTTCTAAAGCACTTTAATTCTTAATTTTATCAATTCAGCAAAGTGTCTGAAAAATTTCTGAGAGATTTTGGTCCGTATTGACACTATTATACTTCCGCCACAAGGTTGAATTATTGATATGTCAGGACGGATGACTGCATTCGTGTGTTTTTTTTTACACAAAATTCTGACTAAAAGGTTTTTACAATCTGTTTTTGTTGATTTAACCTTTGTGAATTAAAGTTTATTATTTTATTTTAATTAAAATACAGATTGAATATATTAAGAAAAAAAATAATGATAGTGCAAGAAGAGTCAAACAACATATTGACTCTCCACCAAAATTATACAGAAAGAAATAATTAACACAATCCTTCATTCGTTGATCATAAATGTGCACAATAGTCACATTAAAAGAAATAAAAACATATTTATAAAGCATGAATGTGAATTGAAAGAGAATATGTAACAAAAATATAAATGACAATCACAACTCACTAAATAAATATAAAAATTAATACATTTTAAGCACTTTTACCAAGCACATCAAAATCCCTTAAATCCTGTTTTTTCCTCATGCTGGCTTGCTTTTGATTGGCTGATTTAAACAAAGAACCCAGTGAATGTTTGTTTTTGTTAAAATTCTGACTGATAAAGTGTTTCTGCTGCTTTTTTCTCCTCAGGGTTGTGGCCCGACGGCTCAGACGGCACCGACATCAATGCAGCGTGTGCATCCAACGACAAGAGCCTCCTGGTTACTGGAGATGATTTCGGGAAGGTCCATCTTTTCTCATACCCATGTTCACAGTTCAGGGTATGAAGCTACACGGGCTACAAACGGTGGCGGTTCGTGATGTGGCTCTTTGCCAAGGGCAGCATAGCATGAGGGGCAACATTAGATTCTGAAGTTGGTCTCTAATATTTATCTTCCAAGTCAGACTAGATTAAATTATTTCATGCTTTTTTTTCTTGAAGAATCTACCCTCATTTGATTCCACTGGGGTTGCTAGGTAACGGATGGAATTCCACTGGGGTTGCTAGGTAACGGGGCACCGCCCCTTGACTATGGCTTAACGGCTCATTTTACAGACACTAACAAACGATAACAGCTGGGTTTTTTCGTTTGAATGCTTGGGCTGATTTTAGAAGCAGTTGAGACCAAAATAGAAGAATAAAAATGTACAAAATATGAATTTTACCTTGAACAATTGTCGTCATAGGTTGGGGTAGAAGCTGTATTTAGTTATTATTGGAGGCAGGAGGGCATTACAGAACCGCCACTGGCTACCAATGTGACCATTTCCTTTTGTTTTATTCAGAATTGTATGAAGAAATGTTTGTTTTTTATCCCTTCCAGGCTCCAAGTCATGTTTACCGGGGCCACAGCAGCCACGTGACAAATGTGAGCTTCCTTCATGACGACAGCTACCTGGTGTCGACCGGTGGGAAGGACATGAGCGTCCTGCAGTGGAGGATAGTCTGAACAGCCGAACTGAACAGAACTGCACTAAAACGAACCAAACTAAAAAAAAAAAAAACTAAAAAAAAAAAAGACTCCAAATAAGAAGTGGATGTGAGTGATGGGAAGTGGTTGAAATGCAGAACTTTTCCTTTTATCCGTTTTTTTTTTAGTCACACTACATGAACAAAACAAACAGTCCAACAGAACCAAAGGCTCCGACTTTCTGACTGCACTTCCTCAGCGTGGATGACCCGGTTCTGCTCTCAGGAGGTTTGTTCGCTGCCAGACAGAACCGAACGGAGCCGGAGAGCCAAAAAATAAAACTGAAATGTTGGGATTGTTTTTGTAACTCTTTAAAATTTTATTTTGTATTTAACAACTCAGGAAAGCACTAATGAAGCAAGACTCTTTCCCACTTAACATATCAAGAAGAACGTCTGGCAACGGCTTGCAAAAGTATCAAACTTTTCCACACGACAACCACAAACTGATGTTTTTCACTTAATTTTTATGAGACAGACTAACAAAAAGTCGTGCATAACTATGAAATGGTTGAAACGATTAATCATAATAAATTAATTATTGAACTAATTGTCAGCTAATTTAGTACTCAGTTAATTATTAATTGCTGTTTGCTGAAAAAATGACATATTCAAAGCTGTAGCTAAGACAAAATTGTGCAAAAGATAAATACATTTTGCATACCTTTTAGGTAAGGACTTTTTAAAAGCACCTTTCACAATCTAATTATAATTTATATAATCTAAAAATAATCAACAGATTAACTGCACTTCCACATGTTTTTAAGATTTTAATTTTTTATATATATACAGACGCATCATTTGGCATGTCACTGCATTTTACCCAATAAAATGTTCATTTTCTTATTTATCAACTTTAAATTTTTATGTATTTCTAATATTACATAAAAAGGCCTACATGTAAAATATGCAGAATTTGCCGATGTTTTTATCCCATTAATCAATTCATCTTCAGAATAATTGATAGATTAATTGATAACTAAAATAATCGCCTAATAATATTTACAGAAATCTGAATGTTTTTGCTGACAGTTTTATTTCAAGATGGCTCAAACTCAGTCACATTATGTAAAATAACAGATATTCAGGTATTGCCACAAATTTTCATTTAGATTAAAGTCTGGACTTTGAATAGGCCATTCTGACACGAGTATGATGTAAGCGACTCTGTCGCTTATAGCAATTTTTTTCCCAGTATTGCTGTTTTTTATTTCCATCCATCCTTCCATGGCATCATGCTGCCACTGCCATGTTTTACCACAGGAATGATATCTTATTTCTTTTCTACATTTAAATGTATTCATGCTAATTGGAAACACCCTGGTTAGATTTTTAGTTGTAAAAAAACAAAACAAAAAAACAAAATTAGGCACTTTGTTGTTGGTCTATCACATAAAATCCCTGAAAAACCATGAAAGTTTGTTAATGTAAAGTGATTCAATGTGAAAACGTTTAAGAAATGTAAGAAACTGTAAGTTTAATTAGAGATATCAGTGACATCATCACAACACAACAAATCAGGTTTCAGCTAATTGGGAACTGAATGAAGGATTTTCTGCTTCGTAATCTAAACATATTTGACCAACATGGCAAAAACACAAAATCTTACCAAATATTTTTAGTCCAGTTTCTAATCCAAATATTTTAGTTTGCTTGACATAAGGTAAAACCAACCCATAAGTAACTTTTCAGCAAAATATAGGAGTTTGAATTAAGTCAATAATTCCTTAATATTAATGAAAAAGAACTAGTTTCACTGTCAGATTATTTCACTTATAACTCGGGGAAAATGTCTTGTTATAAATGAAATAATTTGTCAGTGAAACTAGAATTTCTCCATCAATATTAAAGAATAATTTACTTAAAGCAAACTCATATATTGTGTTGCAAAGTTACTTAAAACTTAATTTTATTATTTCTAGCTAACTTAAATATTTGTTCTAGAAATTGGACCAGAGATTTTGTGTTTTTGCAGTGTTCAAGCTGAAAAGGAAACATTTTTCTTATTTATTTATTGATTTTAAGCCAAATCTCCCTCTGCCAGTCATTTCTCCTTGAGTTTTTCTCCTTTTGTCGTCCTGAGTGGGTGAATCTATACCAAGAGACATGGCACAGTTCTGTGGAAACTGAATGGATATTTGAAATAGTTTTAGCTTTTTTTTTTTTGGATGAAATGTTGTATGTGTCTTTTTTCAAACAAAAAAGAGGAGCAACAGAAACAAGCAAATGTTGTTTTTTGGCTTCTAAGGTTTGCTCCTGCAGAGGAAGGAAGAGACCGTTGCACTGTAATCGCCTGACTTTTTGCACCGACACTGAACTGAACCTTTTTCCTCTTTAATGCACTTCTGCCGCCTGGCCAACACCCTGCAGGTTTCTTTCTGCTCAGTGTTACATGAAACAATCTGCTCCTTCAGTCTCAAGACAGGTTTCTGCTTCACATCAGAGCCAAACATTATCGGGACGGAGTTGAGTGGATTTTAGTGTGAGCGTCTCTGCTGGTGTGTGTGACTGATGGTTGGAGCTTCGTTCTCAGTAAAATCTTTTAACTTCCTCCAGATGTATGCAACAAAACCTGTTTTACCACATAACACCTGAAGCTGCAGATTTATTCCCATTAAATACCTAACATCTGACTGAAAACAAACAAAACTTGAAAATGTCTACATGTCTTTTTATTTTCACATGATCAAAATAACAAAAATACTATATTTATCATGAAAATTGAGAGAAGAAATGATTTTGAGTTTCCCTCAAAATCATTTCTGAGATGAAAATGTTCATATATACACTGCTCAAAAAAATAAAGGGAACACTCAAATAACACGTCCAAGATCTGAATGAATGAAATATTCTCATTGAATACTTTGTTCTGTACAAAGTTGAATGTTCTGACAACAAAATCACACAAAAATCATCAATGAAAATCAAATTTATTAACCAATGGAGGCCTGGATTTGGAGCCACACACAAAATTAAAGTGAAATGTTCCCTTTATTTTTTTGAGCAGTGTGTGTATGTGTGTGTATATATATATATTTATGTATAAATATATATATATATATATATATATATATATATATATATATATGTATAAAACCTTTTATTTGTTTTATTTTCTCATATTTTCCCTTTTGTCCAGTTTAGTTTATCTTGAGCCCAGAAATAGAATAAGTTGACTGCAAAAACACAAAATCTTGTCAAGTACTTTGTCTATTTCTACTGCAAATATCTTACTACACTTGAACTATGATAACACTAACTAATAAGTAACTTTTCAGCAAGATATGGGACCTTGTTTAAGTCAATACTTCTTTAATATTTATATAAAAAGTCATTGGCAGATTATTTAACTTATAACAGTAAATTTTCCCCATAATATAAGAAAACAATCTGCATGTGGAACAAATAATTTTTCATCAGTATTAAATAACTGATTTTAACTCAGATTTGTCTTAAATGTTACTTGGAAATAATTAGTATAGTAATTATAAACTAGACCAAATTACTTTATATTTTTTCTGTTTGTATAATTTAGTCAAACCCACGGTAATAATGTGTGTAAATGTTGTAATTTAATTTAAATGTTTAATTTATTTAAGGGTTTTCACTAATACACTGCAAAATAGCAAAATATTACCATTTGTTTTTGGCAAATATCCTATTACATTTGAAATAAGACAACTAGCAAATGGCTTTTCATCAAGAATTAGGAGCTTAATTTCAAATATTAATTCCTTAATATTGATGTAAAAATACTAGTTCCACTGGCAAAATGTCTTGTTATATTTAACTTATAAAAAGACATTTTTCCCATGTTATAAGTAAAATAATCTGCAAGTGAAACGCTTACTTTTTCCATCAGTATTAAGGGATTAATTATTTAAGCTCTCATATCTTGATTGTAAGTTAGTTTTGTATATTTGCACTAGAAACTAGACCAAAAATACTTCATAAGACACTTACACTGTTGATGTGTATTCTTTTATTTTATATTTTACAATCATTGTTGCTTTTTAAGACAAAGACCAGACGCCTGTTAATTGGCGGCACCCAGTGGAGTCCCGCTCCCACCTTTTGGGAACCAGTGGGAGGAGGAGGGGGCTTGGTTCAATGCTCGCCTTGGCCGCTGGGGGGCAGTCTTGAGTCGCTCCTGTTCCTTCTCCTTCTTCGCCCACCGTGTTAGCAATCCTCGAAATCTGCTTCCCCGGCGCACCACCACCAGGACCAAAACACTCCGGATGGGGAGGAAATGCTCCACGAAGGAGACCGAGCCGCACCGGCGCTGTTGACCGAGCGTCTCTGAGCCGAACATGGGCCTGAGGAGCCGCCAGCGAACCGCCGGAGCTCCGCTGAGACAGCGCAACACAAAGCGCATGGAGGCGCGCGCTCTGGTTTAGCGTCTGCGGTTCATTTCAACGGTTTTTTTTTTTT